GCTAATAGAGTAAGCACTAGTTCAACAATATGACGATGCTTCCGCTCTACAACACCATTCTGCTCGGAAGTATGAGGACATGTTAGCCTATGCATAATTCCTTCTTGGGCTAATACTGGTGATAAGCTCCGAAACTCACCACCCTAGTCTATTTTGTAAGGCCTTGATAGTAAGACCAAATGGTTAGCTACAAGTTTCTAAAATAGTTGAAATGCTAACATAGCTTCATCCTTGTGTTTCAAAATATAGATCCAAGTGTGGTGAGTAAATTCATCCACAAATGAAATATAAAAACGAAATCTATTAGAAGCCACATATGGTAGTCCCCACAAATCAGAGTAAAAAAATATCAAAAAAAGAAGCAATCGTCGTATTTGATTCAGTAAAGGGCAGTTTGTGACTCTTGCCCAAATGACATGCAATACATTCTTTATTTACATTGGAATCAACTTTAATGCCTAGTTCACTAGCAAATTTTATTAAAGTATCAACGTGCCAGAGTTCATCCAATGAAGTAGATACTAAGCTAGCATTGGCTTTTGCAACATTGACTTCTAAGGAACTATTATTCATAGCAAACAAATATAAACATTCATGCTCTTAACCTTGAAGCAGAACATTTCAAGTAACCTCATCACCAACACAACATCGATTTGCATTAACTCAAGGAAAACATCGTTATCCCTAGCAAGCTTAGAAACTGAAAGCAAGTTCTTGGTTATTTGTGGAACATGAAACTAATCGTTCAGTAAAAGCACACGCGAAAAAGAATTGACATGAGAATGACCAACCAAAGCAACATCAAGGGGCGTACCATTTCCAGCTAAGAGTTTATCTGGACCAAGTAATTCAAATGGATTCAAAACCTTATTAACATTTGAAGTAACATGATGTGTGGCTCCTGTGTTAACCACCCAACGCTCAAATGGCATAGAAGTAGCATGAGCTTGCGGTTGGCCATCCACAACTGAACCAGTCTTTCGTTTAGCACAACACTCACACCCACCATCAATGGATGAAACTATAAAGTTACTTGTAGAGGAGGCAACCCTATAATCCGATTGGTATTGCCCACGATTGTCGGAAGTAACACACGAGAAATCTTGATCATATCTATGCCAACATCGATCAACCAGGTGTCAAACGGCCTTTCCACAAAGTTGACAATGCACCCGAGATCTGCCACGACCCTGACCACCAGCTCGAGATCCAGTTGAATAAGTAGATCTCTGACCAGAACATTTATTCGACATCGATGGGCTCCTGATCTCTCCCTAAGCAACATTTGCACTCATCGGTAAGGTTTCCAGTAGATCATCAAAACTAGCAAGCTGGGTTTCTGCATCACGAAGCATAGTATAAATGTTATCTAAGGATAAATTTTCCCTCATGGAAGTTATAACTGCCATAAAAGGTTGATATTCTCGTGGAAGATCTTTCAGAATACTTGCAATATGCTCAACCTCAGGTACCACACTGCCACAAGAAGCTAAAACATCACAAACCTCCTTCACACGAGTAAGGTAAGCACGCATATTGTCACCTCCTTTTTTAAGGACTGAAGTTTTAGTGAAGGCTCTTGACAGCTATCGTCGAACGATGAAGAACCATATTCCAGACAGCCGTCGCTATTTTAGCTCAAACGAATTGAGGAAGAAGATAAGGACTAATAGTAGACAAAAACCATGAGGCAAGAGCACTGTCATGAGCCACAAAGTCTTTATATGCTTTATTGACACGAACAATACCATTATCGTCAACCACAGTCTCTGGAGGAGTCATCACAGCACCTGTAAGCAATCGCTCCAACCGATGGCTACGAATGGTGAGAAAAATCTATTGCTTCCAAAGGAGAAAATTCATTTCATCGAGGACGACATTTAAGGATTTAGCACTGGTGGAGAAATCCATAAAGAAACTGTTCAAGCAACGGAAGCCAAACATAAAGCCCCAAGATCAATGGTGAAAGATACCATATTAGAATATTGTTAAAACACAGAAATGACTACAGAAAAATGGCATACTTGATTATTAAGCATAAGTTGGTTTTTATACACAATGCATTAAGCAATTACCTCTAACAACCCTAACAACCGAATAACAACCTCCTAACAATCAATCACGCATCCAACATGTAAAAACAACCAGTCACACATCCAGCGTGGCACAATTACAGCAACAACATTGCTAACTACACTGCTAATACAGCGCAACCACCTCTGGCTTATACTCACTAACAAATGATTTAAAATACCCACGAAAAATTGATTAGTCACACCTTGACAATTCCACAACATAAACTTCATTATAAATAAAATAATAAGGAAAATAAACATCACAGTTCAACTATAGTCGCACCACCCTCCGGATGAACATTAGTAAACTCAGCAGGAGTTGAGCCATCCTCATCCAGTGGTTGTAACAGCAATGATAGTAGTTCCACATTGCTAAGCTGATTAACCTCATCTGGAGTATGCTTATTAACAGTCCGGTCCAGTAACACACGACACATGCTTCACCAGTTCGGACTGGAAGATATCTATGGATCACGGGAATGTTAGACCTGCTGTCTGTGCTTGCTAATTCGGCCATAACTTATTCCCACAGTTTTCACCCCCGATGGTGATTCCGACCATCACTCGAAGATCCAACTACCTGTTGCTCCACTATAGAGACCTCCTAATGTACTTCCGTATGGATAGTTGTGGTATGTTCTGTCACTTGTACATCCTCCGAGTTACCCAAAGGCATGACTGCCATTCCTAGGTACCTCTCTCATAGGTTACTTAACTTCTTTTTGAGACCGTTTGTCCCTACTCATTTTCCCAGCCGGAGCACAAACCTCGACAGTCTGGTGTTCCATATGTTTGACTGGTGCATCACAACCTTCAACTTCAAGGGCCTCAAACCTGGAATCCGAGTCTAATTTGCTGACTGGTTTCTCACCAAAGCGGGTAACGGCTCCGTGACAACGTCTATCGTCTACCACCATCCATGGTCCAAACAAGTTTGTCTCAGAGACATCACCCATAGGCTGGTTACGAGTATCAGTTGGGATAGCACTATTGTCCAGCAATACAGTAGTATGTTCCTGGTTTTTTTTTCGCAATACTCCTCGGTATGACCAAATATTCAGCACTTGTAATAAATGTTTTGTAGTCTTTCATACTCTAGCTTTTGTAATACTCCATCAATACAGATGCAAGAAGTGATGGTTTAGTGAGGTCCACCATCACCGCTAGACGAGCAAATTTACCTTTCCCTGCAGCCTCCGTGTTATAGTCAATCTTAACCACGTGGCTAATCATGCCAGTGATGTTTCAGAATAAAGCCTTTGTATAATAACCGGTAAGGCAGGCCCGGTAACATCACCTAAACAATTACATGTGAATGGTGTTTTTCAGATGCAGTAAAACTCCCACTCCACGGTTGCAAAGTCAGATAGCTCTCGTAAATCGTTCATGACCCTCCTGTTAGTACTTTCGTATAGTCACTAGCGTCCGAGAAGCTAACAAGGAAGTAGTTATTTCAAGATTCATATTATGCAAATCCCCCACTGATTTCCATAAAGCCATAACCTGGTTCACTAGAGCCTCGTACCCAATCGCTTGACCTAGAAGTCGTACTATTATCGCATTACGCATGTTTGCGTCGAACTTAGCATGTACCCTATCAAAGAATTGGCTGAAAGTTATCTTCTCAGAACGATCCATAATAATGTCTTCCTTCATTATGTCACCTCCTAAAAGAACACCAGCACCTTTGCACCAACAACCATACTTGCATAAGATTGCTTCCTTGCTTCCCTACCTATCACTGTCGACTCGCTAAGCCGAGACACCATGCTCACATTAGTACTCTCCCCGTTATCTTGCATCAACGTGACATCCATAACACCACTTCGACCCTTCTTCACCGCCCGAACCATATCTAAAGAGGATGGAAAGGCCGACCGTTCTCAAACTGGACAAGTCACCACCCCAGGAATCTCCTCCGGAGGCCTCCCACTGGGGTTTTCATCAATTTCCATGCCAGTCGATACGTTAGGGTTAGCATCACTAGGGTTTCCCGTACTAGGGTTTTCCATAATAGACCCCCTAAAAGCAACTCGTGTAAGTTAATTAATTAATCAATCCATAGTTTTTTTCAAATGCATCTATAAAACATTTGTCGACTTTCTGAAAATTAGAGCCTTAATCGACTATAATCTTGTATTGTTATATAATTATTTATTAGTTTTATACACAATTATTTAAATGATATAAAAAAGTAAAAAATTATTAAATATAATATTTTAAATAAGAAAATATATATTATTTTAAATTAAAATATAGGCCAAAGTTAATATTTTTTTAAATATCAGATATCTATTAAATTATTTTAAATTATAACTAATTTAATAAAATGTTAAAATTTTGACTAACATTGCTATTATATCTTGTCACAATCATTTCCATCAATTCTAATTACCAACCACGATTAAACCTAATAACGAGTAGCCAAGCAAAAATAAAACCTTACGTATGATTTAAAAAATAATTGAACAACCAAATAAAAACACAAGAATATGCGAATAAGCTTTCAAGTAGTTTATACTAAAGAACTAATATAATAATTCAAGACAATCAAGTCCGAGTGGGGGTGAGCAGCATAAAACTCAAATAGAAAAACCCCACCATTAACATCCCTATCCATGAAATAGCCGGAGTTTTGCCTATTCTATCCTCAGCTAGCTTAATTTTTTTTTTTTTAAATTATAAATCTAATCATAGTCTTATCTAGAGAAGAGGGAAAAGGAAACTCTAGAGAAAAGAAGAGTACTCCTAGTAAGTTTTGAACTCATGACCTAAAAAAAATATAAAAGAAAAAAGATGAACAAACTAACAAACTCGCCAAATATGCTTAGTCGCCTACAATTTTAACAAAGAAAGGTGCCAGACCATGCATATCATGACATACACACTTATTGAATTCCAAATCTAAGATGCATGCCCTCATATGTTTACAATATTTAACTCAAAATTTAGATCTAACAAACATTGAGAAAACCAGCAAGTTTAGAACTACTTCAAGCCTGCACTTATTGGAATTAAACTTGTTTTCTGGAAGTACCATTCCCACACTTTATTTCATGTCATTTCTTTCTAATCTACAACTTGTGAATGGTTTCCATGTCACTTACTTCCTTCAGGCTCCCTTTCTCAACATGATCCCACCACTTGAACAAGAAATTTTCCACCACGATTCTGAACCACGGCGAAAGTTTCACTTCACCAGCATCAGCTTTCTGCAGTAACTCCTTCAGTTGGTCACGGTTCACGTATTTAGCGTCTGCTACCTCATCTGGATTTGGGTGAATGTTGACATCTCGGACAATGAATAGGAGGTAATCAACTGCGGCATAATGAATAGGTTCATCAATATTCACAAAATCCAGTCATGTAATAGATGTGAAACAATTATAACACCAGCCATCTATTGAAATGGATAATTTGTAAACAGTAATAACTTTCTCCTTGAAGCAGATTTCAAAACTGTATTTTGCACCTAAAAAAGAACTTGGTGCAGAAGGTTATGCAGAGAGAGTGGAAGTATTACGTTCATGCTCGCCCCATTTGCCATCAGAAGGTGCCTTGTAGAGCATGCGACCAAGTGGGGTGAACTGATCGACAGGAACATCTTCAGCGGGAATACCGAGCTCATCCAAAAGCTTCCTTTGGGCAGCATTCCTCACCCCTGCACAACGATTATTAGAGAGGGAAATGGGAAAATATCAAATAAAAATGCTTTTAACTGAAACATATGTAGAAGATATATACCAAGATGATTCTCTCCAATAAACTCTGATTCACGATATAAAGGATGGCTGCAACAGGTGTTTGTCCACACCAGAGGAAATGTTACCTTTGTTGCAGATCGTTGCTGCAAAAGTACCAGGAAGGAAAAGCATGCAAAGAAAACTTTCACCATCAACTATTTACAAAAGCATAACTATCGTGCATATGCAACGTATTCAATGTCAAATCTGGCACCAAAGTAGAAATTAAGAGTAGAGAGAGTGCTAAAGGGCAAGATTTAGATAAAGAAAGGGGCTAGCCAGCTTGGTTAAGAGCCTAAGACCTGTGACAATACCCTGTTTCCCAACACTTCTGTTTTATCTTTCTAATATCTGTTTATCACCCATTCCATAGTTAAATGCAACTGATCCTACAAAACTTGACTTCGTAGTGACCATCCTGTCTAAATAACGATTTAGGACTGTAAGGCTCTTCAAAAGATAGAAATGGGCAGATATTTAGATGTCAAAATCATAACTTGACTTCGTAGTGACCATTTTTTTATAAGAACTTCGTAGTTACCATCACCGTTTGATAGAAAAAAATGTTGAATAAGTAGAACTAAACTATTAAATCATGAAATATCACTTAGTTTTTTCCTTACTGTAAAGTAAAAATCTAATAACTCAAATATTATTTTTCACGACGATAAAATATTTTTAGTTTCTTTTATAAATATAGTTCTAAATAAACAATGATATATTTACTGAATAAATTATTTTTATCAAATTACATACTAAAAATTTTATAAATTTTTACAAGTATATGAAATGAAATTATTTCAAAAAATATTTAATTAAAATATTTTATAAAATTCTTCATAAAACTAAATGTTTTATAAAATAAAACCCAAACAAAATTTGGCATACAATTTTCTGGAGATAATATACCTGAAAACTTTTGGAAGTTGAAATTATTTTTGTGGCGAAGGAAAAAAATATTTGTAAATTCATATTTTGAGCAAGGTGATGACTCTTGAAAACATAAAAAATAAAGGAGAAACTCTTGTATTAGAATTTATCATCCCAACAAGTGTAAAGGGTTTTTAAGGGAAATAAGTTCATATGATTTCTTAAGTGCAATAGGTGTTGGGTTGACTTTTAGGGGGTGTTTGGTTCAAAGATTGTGACATTCCCATGTTTGATTGGCCGGGAATCTCATTCCCGGTAATGTTTTATTACTAATAGTAGATTTTTTTGGGTATATTACCGGAAATGTCATTACCTCCCTTCCCTTAAGTATTGTAACATTACCGACGTTTTGGACTAAAATACCCTTAAATTTTTATTTTTTTCAAAAATATCCTTCTTCTGTCATTGAATAATAAAAATTCTACGAAGGTTAAATTATAAATTTATCTTTAAATTATTTTAGATTTACAAAAAAAAATCTATAATTAAAATTTTATATGAAATTCAGAAGTTAAAAAAATTTTACCCTTTCATTAAATTTTTTTATATTTTTAATTTTGTAAAAAAAATTATATAAATATTATGAATTTAATTTTTTAAAGAAAATATATAAATATTTTACAATTTGTAATATTATACAAATATATAATAAGGACAATTTGGTTAAATATTCATTACAATAATCTTTTATTCTTTTAACCAAACACGATAATCTTACATTCCTGCTAAACCAACCAAACACAAAATACAACATTTCCAATAATCCTATTCCCTGGTAATCTTTTATTCTCACTGGTAATCTTACATTCCGTGAACCAAACGCACCCTTACAAATTACGACCAAACAAGTGACTAGTGTTAACTAGTGTGCTAAGAGGCATATTACAAAGTTAATACTCTACTAAATGAGATGTCAATGACATACCTTGCTACTTCATATCTCATTATAATGCCGAAGTTCAAAAATAATGGCAATTGTAAATATCTCAACTGCCAATATTTTATCATGTTACCTGGAGGAGTAACTCATATTTTGTGTTAAACAAAAATACACTGAATGCCCTATGTAGCATCTTTCCAGTTAAAATCTTCTCCCACAAATGACCTGTAAATTTTCAAGCTGATGTTAGAAGTGCAGAAATAAAGGCAAATATAGTGAAGACATTGATGGCAGAAACAAAAAGCCAAGAGACATTCAGATTTCCCATGTATTCTCATAATAGCAACAAGAGAAGAACTTATCTAGCTAAATCTAACATCCTTTAATTCCCATAATGCAACGGAAAACACAATCTATAGGATCCAAATTTAGGCCAGAGATTCAAACATTTCTTTTATCTTAGCTTCTTATATCATAAGCAGAATAAAGGGCCCACGTGCAAGTGAAGTAATTCATCTTATAGCTTAATAAATAAACACAATAATTTTACATGACAAAAAGTTCCTGCTAAAGTATTTTTTTCCCAAGGTGCAGCTAAGGTTCCACTGTACTAAGAAAGTTTCATAAACAAGCTTCCCGATCCTCTACAAATTGAAATATCATTACTGGACCAACTGTATATGAAAGTCAGTTACAAATTTAACACCAGATCATCTATTCCTTTTCAACACCAAAACATAAAAAATATGATTTCTGCTGGTCAAGATAATTTCCCAACCGAAAAAGTATTAACAGTTGATGAATAAAGCAATGAGCAAATATATATGAATCTCAACATCAATAGAGAGGATCGAAAACACAAAACATAAATCAGGACTGAATTCATGCAGTTGTTGGCTTGTTGCATCTAATATTCCTACACAAAACTTTGCTTGTAGGAGAGAGGTGGAATTAATAAAATATTTGGGATACAATAAGACCATTCACCTTTCTGATATCCTTCTAATCCTACATTTGAAAGGACAGTCCTCCTCTTAACCATTTATGGAAGCCGTAAGAAATCTTACCAGCTTTCATCTCGATGCTTTTACAACCAGAGATGGAGCCAGGATTAAATATTGACAAGGGCCGAAATATTAAAGTTTTTAAAAAAAAAATACAATAACTTATTAAGTATTTAAATTTAAAATTAAGAAGATGATACCTAATTTGTCTAATATTTAAACTTACAATGACCTAAATTGTTATTAGACCAAAAAATTTGAGAACATGAAATTATCCTTCTTTAGTTCGGTCCCTACTTGATTAAATATTTAATAAATGTTTATATTTTTTTAATTTAAATGCTTATTTTTACATGAACCAAAATACTATTAAACTGAAATCTATCGAATATGTAAAATATTTACAGTGACCGGGGCCCCTTTGGGCCCAACATAGCTCTGCCCCTGTTTACAACAGAACACAACATACTCAATCTTTGTTATTAGTGATGGCCACAACAGACAATAGAGCACAGCGGTGCAAATGCTACATTATTCCAAAGAAGAAAAGAAATTCAGAGGAAATATGTAATAGCTAGATCAAGAAAATGTCATAATTAAGTTGATAACTACTCTTACGAGTTATGACTGAATGGTTTTTTTTTTGATAGAAGTTGGAGGTCTCATTAAAAACTCCCTTCGTATTCGTTCACATACTAAAAGTATGTTAACGAACATTGGAAGGAAGAAAAGAGTACCTCAAATTTTATTGATAATAATACCCGATACAAAAGACACCACGGAATATCCTCTCATGGTGATGTACACCATTACAACAAACACCTTAACCCTATATATCCTCATCCAAAGCCACAATCTAATCACCTTCTAATTACACCACTAGCAGTAGGATTAAAACAACGCAACAGAACATAATGCAAATTAAAAGCAACACCTACAACCATATAGATAAAAACAAAACCACAATTGAAGAGACAAGATCTAATGAGACTCGTCTTCTTCAGGAGCCCAAGAGTTTGGTTTGAATGAAGGCTCTATCTCATGCACCATGACCTTGAAGAAGTTGTCACCAACCTTCAATTCCACCATCGCATCAATTCTCGCATCAGCCTTTATGAGGACTTGAATTTTTGCCCGATCAAAAGATGATGGAGACTGACAACTTTCGTCGATAGCTAGTAATAAACCCCACTTATCAACAATGTTCTTGAAAGTATTCCAATTCCATGCGTGAAAAGGACACCCTCGCAAACTAACCATACTCGACGACACTCCATTACCAAACTCTCTGACCAAGCTTCGACTATGGAGAACCACTCTGCGAGAATAATTGATTTATTGTTCTTCACACTTCTCAATGAAGCATTGTCTTCGAAAATCATTAAAATCGCATTACCAGCAGCTCTCATTAAGGTAAAGCCAGTGAGGCCCTTCGCTTGCATTTGTCTAGCGAGATGACCAATTTTGACAAAGTCCTTGCACCACCCCACTAGACAATTGCTCAACACCTGAAGTTTTTCTTCATCTATAACACCTTCAACTTTATAATGATTCTTCCTCGAATCATCTTCCATCCCGGACTTGCGAAGAACACCTGACGAGGACTTCCTCCAATAGGAATGTCGAGGTTTGAATTTAGCATAAGAAACGCCAACTTTGCTGCCATCGATACGAGAGCCATTCATTTTTGAGATTGCTCTCCTTGCTTCTTCAATAGTTGCATACCGAATAAACCCAAAACGGACCCCTTTCGAGTTTCTTTTTTTAGGAATGAAGGCATCAATAACATGACCATGTGTGCCAAAAATAGACCCAAGTCTCTTCCAATGGATCATCTCTGGAAGGTTTTCGATAAAAATCGTGAAACAACCATTTCTGATCCCATTTCCGATTCTTGGATGACCATCCTTCGACCAATTTTGAAACTCATTTTTTCTCCTTCTCGTTACTTCGGAAAACTTTTCATGGGAGTACCCTTTCATGATGCTCTCCTTGGTTCCATCCTGAACAATATCAGCGATAGGTAAAGTTGGTGTTGTCTGCACTACAGAATTAGTTCCGAGCTTTTGTTTCCCTCCTTGAGAAGAAGACAGTCCATTGTCATCAATCCTACCAACAGGAGGGTGACAGTCTGAAGTAGCTTTAGCAAAGCAATTTTTCAAACACCCGGTTGATAAAGGACTATCACCCAACCTTGCTGAGAATACTCTTGAATTTTGCTGCTTTTGGGGCGAAGGCGATTGCCTGAAGGTAGTGCCGTCGGCCTCAACTGTCCAACCTGCCTCACGGGCCAAGGCGGCCAGTACATCGTTCATATTAGAACGCTCTGAGAGATGGAAATTACCAAACTGCCGCAATCCGGCCAGCATACGTCTAGTGAAGGCTCGCCTGTTCCGTCTCCGGAGCTTTGTCCTTTCCTTTTCGCTCTCCCTCTCACGTTTTTCCTTGCCGGAAAATGAAAAATTGATTGCATTGTCAGGTCCAGAGGAAGTACTAATGGAGTTCACAGACGCTGCACCTGCCGCAGTTGTTGCAGCTAAACCACTAGTACGCCTGTGCTTAGACGAGCGTAGAGGATCCATGGAGAGATCTGGGAAAGATGATTTACAGGAAAAACAGACAGCTTGGAGGATAGTGTAAGATTTCACCGAACCAGATGGATAGAACTGGGAAGTTGGGAAGAGGATTAACTGGAAAAACAGACAGCTTGGATAGGGTAAGATTTCACCGAACCAGTACACTGGAAATAGAACTGATTTTCGACACTAGAAAGGGAGTTATGATCGCGAGAAGAAGCTGAGTCCGGTGGTGAGGCGGAGACGACCACTAGCGGCGGGAAGAGGCGTAAATCGACGGTGAACTTCGAGCAGATCTGCGTCGATTGAATGTCTCAATCGCAAATCTAAAGCCAGATTTGGAATCACCTCGAGTCGGTGAACTTCCCAGGAGAAAAAAGCTTCAAACGGTGGTCGGAGTATGGCGGCGGACGGCGGCGGCAGCAGCGGACGGTTGTCGGAGGCAGCTGACAATGGGTGGATGTCGGAGGAGAGAGAAAAATTTTCAAAAGACGCCTGGGCTTTTGTAATTCGAAATTTGAAAACACCTTGGTTAGAGAGAAGCTGGAGCTTCTCTCACTAACACATATGCTCTGGCTAAGTAGCTATTAAATTGATTTGTTATGACTGAATGGTTAATATAGCTATTAGGTCATCACAATAATAAGATTTTCATTCCACAATTAGATTACACCATATGCAGTCAAATAAATGCATTGGACTTCAGAAATACGAGTATGGGTGTTTGAACATATAAAATTTAAAAAGAGGAAAAGGATAATGCAGCACAACAGTGTTACGACCCACGGAAACTGAAAAATAGGCATTTTTACTTACAATTGTACTTCGATTCATGGCCAACAACATTATCACTCTCGTCCACTAAAATACATCTACAAGAAGATTGAAGCAAAGGCATATGTCAGCATTAAACACAAAAAATTGTGCGCTTCAAAAGAGCTTGCCCAATACAATGACCTCTCTAATTGCAAACCAAGAAGGCTTCATAGTCATTCAGCCATATAACAAACTGTATGATCAGTAAAGTTTTAAACCTCGATTTGTGTAATTGAAAATATATGATATTGGTAACAGAAATAGTTATCCTACGCAATAACAGATACCACAATTAGCAAACTACTACATCCAACCATTCACATATCACTATCACATTCCTCCTTCAATTCAATCCAGCTAAAGAATACTGGAATACACAGCACACAAAGAATTCGGTAAAAGAAACAAAAACCACACGGTACTGAAAATATGTAACAAGAAAAGGAAAATAAACTACCCTTTTTTCATTCTTTTTCAACATTTTCAGTCACATTTCCCCTTTAGTTTTTATAAACTAAAATGGTTTTCTTTGCATAAGGGTTCAAATCAAGAATTGTTACACGCCTAACCAAAACAGATAACAGCAACTAAGCCAGGCTGTTTACGATACAATAGATAAAATTGATAGCATTCTAGATGATAGAAGATTATATGGTGCTAGCTCGCAATATCGTCCTATTTATTTTTTGCAGTAAATTTAGCTATCTGCCAAAAGGGGATCCTCCGATAATATGAATAAAATCATGGGCATAATATCATATTTTCAGTAATTTTTTGCACTTTCTTACCAGAAGTATTAAAAATAATTTTCAGCAGTAAATATACAAAATATGGCTCAAAATTGAATAGCCTCCGATACTTTCATCTGGCTGCTAAGTCTATGAAGAAAAGGGAAACTATTTTCACTGTTACAAAAGAAGTTCCCAATCATTTTCCCCTCCAAATTATCGTAAAAGCAGATCATGACACCAAGAACAAGACAAAAATTAACCATATAAATGGAAGGTTCACTGCTATCAGAAGATCCACGTAAGTTCCAGTTTTAGAAATCATTAAATCAAATAATTATAAACAACTTTGACATAAACTAATAATCCATTAAGTCAACTTTCTAAAGCTTACTTGCATAGAACATACATATACCTATACTCTACTGTATACACATGACTACGTGAAATTTAGATGTAAAGATAAAAGAAATGAAAGAAGAAAAAAACAACAACGGGTTTCAATCAACAATTCATTAAACAAACTTAAAATTCCGTAATTTTAGTTGTAAAGTGAATATAATTTCTGAACAGAGGAAAAGGTACCCAGTAAACTCAGTTAACTTTAGCTTCAGCTTTCCCTCCTTTCTCTTTCATTTTGTCGGTAACAGATCATAGCAGCAAACAAAGCTAAATGGCAAAAACGTAAATAAAGAAGAAAAAAGGGGAAGTTCGGAATTGGGAAAAACTCACTCATCCTCAAACATGAGGCGTCTTTGGACAGCGTCCATGGAAGCGTCATGGGCGTTGCCCATGGTGGCGGTGGCGGATGAAGCTTGGTTATGAAAAGACGGAGATACCCTCAAGGGATGGAAGGAGGAGTGGGGAAATCGAGGGGCAAAAGAGGAAGGGAGGCAAAGACGGGGACTAGGAGAAGATAGGGAGGAGGCTAATGAGCGAGAAAGGGAGAGGGCGGAGGAAGTATTTAAAAGCAAAGGCATTTAGGCTCTGTTCTCTGCATATAGCTCGGAATGGTAATCTGACAAATTGATGTTCTCTGTCTTGCTATATAATATTTTTATTTATTTCTTTATTATAATTATAATATCAATATTTTGACTTCGGTTTTTACTATTGATTTTTTTATTTCATAAATTAATTATAAAATTATTGCATTTATAATTGATACTTTTGTGAAAAACATTTATTTAAAAATTAATTATGATAATAGCACTAAAAACGATTATGGGTAAACTATACATTTAGGACCTAAATTATCGATTTTGATTCATTTTAGTACCTACACTTTTATATTTTTCACAATCATACCTAACATTTAGTTTTTGTTTCATTTTAGTATATGCCGTTAAAAACTTACTGGACGAGCTCACCAATCATCGCGTCTACAGTCGTCAGTAGTCGCATTCGTCGGCCGATGAAGCCCAAATTTTCCAATCGATGTCTTTTGACCACCTAAGCGTGATTCCAACCTCTGTTTTATCGGGAAACGCTTCAATCTCCTCAAATCGATGATGGACTCTTCGATTTCTTCATTCTCATATCTCCATCATCAACCATCCGATGGACCTAAAACTAGACTATTTGGTCAACTCGTCATTATCTTGTGGTCCATCGTTCGAATTGATCATCTGTTCACCGAAGATATGCGTCGTCAACCCGTCTGTTAAGCTTTTAATGATGGGGTACTAAAATGAAACAAAAACTAAATGTTAGGTATAATTTTGAAAATATTTAAAGTTTAGGTATTAAAACGAACCAAAACTAATAATTTTGGTACTAAATGTGTAGTTTACCCAAAGATTATTTTGAGAAATGGTATTACTTTCAATCACACAAGATAAAAGGTGTGTTTAGCTTGCTACAGCTCATCAAATGAACTCCCAACTCGACCTGTTTTTTGCCCTACGTAGCATAACATGTTAAGACTCATTTAAATAATTAGTTTTTTCCTTCATAATTCGTATTTAAATAATGATACTTTAATTAATTAGTTATTAAATATTAAATTTTTAAATAATTAATATTAAATTAATCCATCTTAATAAGTATTTAAACTTTTGGTTTGACAAATACGTGAAACAATTATATTATTTAAATATAAATACGGTTTACATTTGAATTATTGATATTTACCATAAAAATGATAAAAAAAAAATTAATCATGCCACTCACGAATTTTTTTTTTTTTAAAGTAATGGATATCCCTTGTTCCCATATGTAATATGGTAAGGGGAGGTAAGATAGTAGGCTGTCCCAACACCCGGTTCAGAGCAGTTTCCGTATAAGACCTCCGAATTATGAAATGCCCTCCGTGGGACTCGATCCCACGAGCTCAAGATTAAGAACCTTATGCTCTATCAACTGAGCTGAATAGTCATATTTTTTTTTAAATAATGGTCTCGTTAAAAAATCTCCTCTAAGGAAAAGAGTATTCAATATTTATTGATCTTGATAGTTTGTCACATACACGACCGCAACATGGACATAGAAATAAGAACAGCTGAACACCCCAAACTCTCAGCAAGGGGAGCTTATGTACATAGCAAGAAACAATATACTCACCACCCTAATAGACTCTTACATGAAAAATGAGACAGAATAAAGTCCACGATACAGTTTACAGCCACAACGCGCAACAATACTAGAAAAGCCAGTAGACGACAGCAATATAAACCAGAGCAGTCTCTACACTGCTTAAACAGGCGAGAAACGACCGATATTTAGCACCTGCACAATCGGCATTAAGCAAAACAAACTCTAACCACAACAGAAAACTAATCACTTTTGGTTTCCGATGCAGACTAAATGAGGATCGCAAACAAAATCAAAAACAGAAGCAACCGAGTGAGGCCACTTACTTTTTACCCAAAAACCAACATGTAGTAAAGCAATTTCAAACATCTACTCGACTGAGAAATTTTTGTAGAAAATTACTTCATTTCGGCAGAGTCAGATCATCCAAATGAAACCTACAAATCTAGATTCCATATCGGCTTTGAAGAGCGAGAGACCCAGGAAAAGTACCAAAGGGCTAGGAATTCACGAAAACTCTCAAAGACTATGTAATCACCATTTTTTCCGTTTATTATATTATTATTATATATGTATATATTATTTATTATTATAAATTATTACAAACCAAACTCAAATACCAGGCCCAAACCCGAACCCAAACGAATTTAAACCAAGCCCAAACCTAGATTTAAACATAACCCTAACCCTAAACCTACTTTATCTGCTACCGCCGCCGCCGCCAGGTCTGCCTTCTTCACTGTGCCACCGTCATCATCTCAACAACATCAAAAAAAAGGAAAATCAATGTCAGAACAAATCCATCAACAAATCCTGAAAAATCTGAGGCATTAAAACCCAACACTCATTGCAAACAGTTTCAACAGTAGAGCTAGGATTTTTTTATTAGCCTATGTAAATTATCGGTTATAAAAAGCGAACATTTTGTGAGGAGAGTGAGTTTTTTTTACTCTCATTTTTCAGAGGAAATACTAAGATTATTAAGGTATATTGTTCTTCGTTTATTATGCTATTTTTCTTTTCGAAATAAAAAACAGTCCGAACTTCGAAGGGTTTTTTTATGTTTATGTTCGAAAGCAACCATAATATAGCAAAGAAAATAAAAAAATTCTTGCATGTTACCAAATCTAAGAGAGAAAGGGGTTTACCTGAGTCGTAGGGGTCTTCACGGTGACCAGAGTAAGGGGAAACCCAAATGTCGAAGTTGTTTTCAGGGCATTTTGGAGTGGTTTTCGTGGTTTTTAGCCTCAAATAGAGGTTAAAGGGGTAGATCTAGGCTTAGAGAGTGATTTGGGGTTGTTTTGGTAATTCCAACCACCATGTACGGTGGTTGAACGGTGGCCGGGGTGGGGAAGGCAACCGGTAGTGGGCCGGGCGAGGGAGAGTTGAGAGAACTCTCCCAATTATTTTGGGGTTTTTGGTTACAAATGAAGAGAATAAAAAATTGGTATATATATAGAGAAAATTTGTGGGTTATTTGCGTTTTAAATACCTCAACTTTTACTATATTTTTGCATTTTGGTCTCTAAAGGGACCAAAATTGCTATTTAACCTTTTTTTCCGTACATGTTCTATTTTTTGGTTTATTCATGTTTTAGTCCCTCTAATTCCAGTGCATTTTTGCATTTTAGTCCTATAGGGACAGTTTTGTGATTCATCCTTTTAATGCCTGATTTTATTATTTTTTGGGTTAATTTTCTTTTAGTCCCTTCAACTTTATCTTATTTTTGCATTTTGGTCACTAGACCTTTCGTTTCTATTTTATTACAATTTTATCATTCTATTTTGTTTTATTTTATTTTAGTCACTATTCATTTTTTATTTAGCTACTATTATTTTAATTTTTTTCATTTTGGTCACTATTTATTTCTTATTTGACTACTAACTTTTATTTTCTTGCATTTTAGTCATTTTTGTTTTATATTTATGCAATTAGGTCCTTATTTTATGTTTATTTTATTTTATTCCTTTTTACTGTTTTTTTATTATTTGTTATTTTAATTAAGTTTATTTTTAATTGTTTTGTTTCATAGTTTAAATTCTAGATTTAGTTTTTACATTAGATTAATACTCGAATCAATCTTAGTAATTAGGATTTCACTTTAGTTTAATTAGGGAACAATTCGATTCGTGTTTTCGCACTAAAAATGCCCGATTACTCGAGTCGATTGTTTGAATCCTTAATTTATTTATCTTTGATTAATTTTAAAATTATCTTAATATATTTCCTTTCTTTTAAAAGTATTAGGGCTTTGAGTTAGATTAATCCTTTAAACGTTAAGATTTATAGACTTAGATCTTTAAGTTTTAGAATTTTATATTTAGGTCTTTTAAAGGTAGTTTTTCTATCACTTGATTATTTAGTCCCCCAAACTTAAATTAGAGCTTTAACATTGATATAATTAAATATGATAAATAGAGCCTCCGCTTTTAGATAGATTTTAATATAGTCCCTCTAATTTAGGAAATACTCCGAGTCAGCACTCGCGTAAACGCTCAAGGGACCATTTCGGTTATTCGATTCAATAATTGATTAAAATTAAATACGATTAATATTAGAGCCTACACATCTAGGTTTATGCCTTTAAGTCCTTTAACTTTCATAATTTGACACCTTAATTTAGAAAAATCCTTAATTTACTTTTAGTTTAATTAGGATGAATAAAATTTTGTTTGATCGCATTTTATTTTTTAAACTCTAAGGCAATGTTCACTTGTTAAGGAATTAATAGTATATCTCCCGTCATCATGCTCCGAGGGTGACTACTGGTGATTCCTGAAATAGGTCGACATCCTTTTAAAAAAAAACTACGTCATGATTTCTAAAAACGAGGCAATATTCGGTTATTAGACACAATAACTGACCTCCCGCATTTACGCTTGGGACCGAATGCTATCGGTCTTGATAAACGAATTCCCTTTTCAACTTTGCATCCATATTGATTCTCAAATTAAATAAAGATCGAACTCAAAATTTTTTATTTTAAATATAGTGAAATCAACTAGGTACCAATTTTTGGGCGCTTGTGAGGGTGATAATCCTTCCCCACGCGTAACCGACTCCCGAACCTAATTTCAATATTTTTCGTAGACTCCAAAACTCGGTATTTTTATAAAAATAAAATGTTTTATTAAAATCACCCAATTTTTATGGTGTCCCAATCACACCTTAAATGATTGGCAGCGACTCCTCACATTTCGAAACGATTTTCAAAGAGAAAACCCCTGGGTCGGTATCGGTCTTTTCCCCACCCGGGCAAAAAAAATGGTGTCGACAGCTTGGCGACTCCGCTGGGGATGTTTGTTTTTTAAACAAATTATGAGTCGAGCCACAAGTTGGTTACCATATATTTATTATTTTGGAAATTACGAGTTCGATCTTATTTAATTTATGGCTCATTATGTTATTTCAAAAGAAACAATAGATTTTCTCTCTGGTTAATGCTTACACTTTTGTGAATATTTAGGACTGTTGCATATCATAACTCTAAACC